GGGTTAATGAATGTTTAGGCCAATCAAATCATTAACAAAACTTACCTTTCATAGTGACATTCAACTGGAATGGCTGCTTCATCCAGTCTGAGCAGCCCGTTTCTGGGCTCAGGTGAGTAGAACAGAACATTGGAGTAGATGATTTTGTCCTCCGTTGACTAAAAGAAAACAACAACAAAAAAAACTAAACGTTAATTAACCAAGACATGTCAGCTACAACTGCATGCGAGTCAAGTTTACAGAGAGTTTAGTTCCACAGTCGGTCAGGCGGGCCTGGATGGTGAACTCCTCCGCTCCTGACTGGACGGCCCCGCAGGCGCTCGGGGACTCCGGGCCCAGCTGCAGGTGACCTCCTTCCACCTTGAGCCCGGCGTCAAACATGTCGGCCTGCACCACAACCTCCATGGAGTCCGGGTGGCACTTGACCACGATGGGTCGGGGCCGAACCTCGAGCTCTGCGCTCTCCTGCTGCTTCGTCGCAGACGGCCGAGGCTGGACGGCACCGTGCACCATGCGAGGCGAACTTTGGGGGCTCGAGGCGCCAGACCTGCCGCTGTGGACCAGCCGACTCTCCGCGGGCATGGAACCGGAACACAAGACGAGAAGCCAGCAAGAAACGGCTCGCAGCAGGGTGAGGTCCATTCTCAGACACGTTTGGAAGAGACTAGGGCGCGAGGGGGCTGAAAATAACCAGCACAGCTGCAGGTGATTAGGGCTGCTTGAACACACCTGGGCGCGCGCACGCTATCAGCCAGTTCGTGATCATGCGAGTTTTAAAACTTGTACTAGACGACGTTGAATGGCACTTGCAGAAAGTGATGATTTGAAATAAATCAGGGGCGGTTCTAGAATCTGCCCTTTAGGGGGTGCTTAGCCCCCACCAGTGTTGATAATGGCTCATGACTTTAACTACGCAGTGGCCATTGACGTCAGAACAGTATTTGAAATATGTGTGTGTGTGGGGAAAATTGAGCTATTTCCTGCATTCTGGTGTATTTTAACAGGTTTTTAAACAAGTAAACGATTCATTCAGTAACTGTTTTTGAGCGCATGGCACAACAAGAAGTAGTAGCACTAAGCTAGCAGTGCGCAATACAGATGCGCTAGCTAAGATGTTACAGAGTAGCACTGCACTTTACATAATCTAATAAACACTTTGCACAAAATCCGTTTAGTGTTAACTGATCATAACAAACAACCAGAAGTTGCAACATAGCCACACTTAAAACACACGAAACAGCACAGTTAGCTTTAATCATCCATCCATCCATTATCTTTTACCCGCTTCTTCCATTTTGGGTCACGGGGGTCGCCGGTGCCCATGTCCAACAATCACTAGGGCAGTGTACACCCTGGACGGGTCGCAAGTCCATCACAGGGCTAGCTTTAAGCATTAACCTTTAATTCAGCCCTTAAGCATACAATGTAATTATGACAGAAAATGGAGGATTTACCTGCAGTTACCTTCGTACAGACGAACATGTGGTACTTCCTGTTTATCACTGTTGTATTCAACTTCTCATGAGGTCAGCTGCAAGGATTTATCTGTATTTTACATTTTTGCAGACTTGGTTTAGGTTTTGGACATGGAATAAACTAGTCCACCCTCTGAAAATACTCCAGGTAACATGTGTCTGAATTACATGTTCTAATGTTTAACCGTTTTTTCTTGATGATTTTTTGCGAAATCCCTCTGATCGCAAAGCGTTCGAAATGCAAAAACCCAACAATATTGTCAGAGAACAAGCAGGTGGAGCTCCTGCAGGTAAGGGCCGTTCACTTCGGGACAAATTGAGATTGCTAATTGATCAGTTGCTGACAAGCCTGCAGTTTGCTTTAAGGATTCGACTCATGAAACAACAACAACAACAAAAAAACTGATTTTACTGGACTGTTTAAGACTGTCATAATTTATTCCATATTTATTTCAAATGTATTCAATATTTTGGTGAATCTAAGGTTTGAGAATTAAGTTTCCTTACAAAATTGTTATGATGGTATTTGGTGGTGGCTGTGGCTCAATGGTTAGAGCAGTAATCCTCCAATGCAAAAGTCCAGGTCCACCAGCATTCACATGCCAAAGTGTCTCAGGGCAAGACACTGAACCCCTCATTGTTTCCGATGTGTGTCCCATCAGTGTATGAATGTGATCTAAAGCACATACAGATATACAGATATAGTAGAGTGCTGTGTGAATGGATAACTGAGGGCACAGATTGTCGTGTAAAGCACTTTGAGTATCTCGATAACACAGGAAGGTGCTATATAAGTGCAGTCCATTTATTTTTCAGGGGTACTTTGTTAAAATTTAGGGGTGCTTGCGCACCCCTTTAAAGAGGCTAAAATAGTCACTGATGTAAATGTACAACTCATGAACTGCTGAATTTGGTCCAATTCAAGATGGCCACCACAGCCAATTGTCTTTAGTGTGGTAGTAGCTGAGACTAATCCTCAACACGTATTTTGAGTATCAACAGATCAAGATCTTTGTTTAAAATTTTGACATGAACTAATTCAAGTCAACTGCCTGTCTGTTAGCAAAATATCCCATGAACCACTTGATTTTGATGTCACTTCCAGAAAATTACACTCATTTTAGGGTCCTACGCTTAAAAATTTAGAGTTAAACGTTGGAGTCATTCCTTGTCTGTTAGCAAACTATCTCATGAACCACTGGATGGATTTTAGTAAACCTTTCAGAAAGTAAATTTTGGATGTATATCTTCAAATGATTATATTTTGGAGTCAGTCCAGTTTATGATGACCCGCACAGCTAATTGGCACTATCCAACACATAATGGCTGCAAATGAGTCCATTTTTAAAATTTGTTCTAAAACTCTACGTGGTAAGACTCATTCACAACTCATATGTTTCACACAAGATTGCACATATTATGTTCAGTGTTTGACCAAAAGAGCTCCAATTCTGTAACTTTTTAACTTAAGATGATTTTTATGTAAAACTCTGACATGAAAAGCGGCGGGCGATATGAATTCCTTCAAAATATTCTCAGCTTTAATTCTCTAGGATCACAGCTGGACATGCTATAAACCACATCGCCCACTTGGTGGCAGTAAAGATGTGTTATCCCATTATTTAAGTAGCAAACCTGTTTTCACAAATATAAATTTATGATGCAAGTATTTACTTATTGAAATATGTTTTTCGAGATTAAATGAACACAAATAACATTTTAAAACAATTGGTTACAAGTCGTATATGAAACTTTTGGGAGCATATTTGTCTGTGTATGTTTTTCATTTTGGTAGAAATTTGTTAAGCTGATAAACTTAAAATCCTCAGCTCTGTATTGAATCAATAATTTACAATTAAAGGTTCAATAGTAAATATCATAAATTGCTAATAAATTATTGTTAAAACATACAAGTGATCCAATTTATGGCTTACAGATATATGCAGTTTTGTTTTGCATGGTCCTTACAAAGGAATTAAATTTCAGCTTTAAAGTATTTTTTGTCAATAGGTATAAAAAGATGTGAGACAAACAATCATTTTATGTGAGCTGACATAAATCCAGAGTTAATGCGTCTCTCAGCTTATTCACCAATTTATTTGTCCATCTTTAAAAGTCTTGAGTAGTTGATGAAACCCCTTGCAACGTGTTGTGTGCTTCATTCATAATATCGTCCTCACCATACAACTGGTCCAGCGTTACTCCACCATGTTCTCTGGAGTAAAACCATCATAGGTCTTTCTCAGCCTCAGCAGCCACAAATGTCAGCAGTTTCTGTTCCACAGGTAAACACTGTCAACTGAGACAAACGCAAAGCAAACCCACCTGTTTACTTTCAGTACAGTTTTATGAATAACAGCAGCAGCTTAGCTGTGCAATCGAAACCTGGTCTGAGTGTGTTTAGATGCGCTCAAGCATTCCTTTGATTGGACGTTTGGGGTTTTCATTATATGTGATTCACGTGTTCTGAGATTATAGAAGTACTACACCTAAATGGTACATTTAATCTGCACGAAACTGCAAAAAGAATAAATATGTTTGACTGGATAGGTGTCATCCCCCCCCCCCCCCACTTGATATTTATGCTGTAAACGTCACCCACAAGCTGGAGATAATCTATGAGCTGAAAATTCAGTTTAATTCATTAAAATTCATTCAACCTTTATTTATACAGGTTAGTCTCATTGAGCCTCGAGGACTCTTTTACAAGAGAGACCTGTTTTATCAGGGAAAACATGAAAAAGTGACACTTGGAACAGCAAAAACAATAAAAAGAATTGGCTGATGTGGAGGATTAGTTGTTTACGTCTACACAAGATCATAACAGGGGACTCGTGTAGAGGTTATGAATAATTCATATCTTACGTGTTGCAGATAGTTCTCTGACTGATTATAAACTTAAATAACAACATTAAATTAACTCTACAAGTTTATTCATGTAAAATTACAGTTATTTAAAACAATAAGTTTAACTGATTACCGTTGGTTGACTAATAACCATTTGTTTTTTGAAAAACACAGCAAAGACCAATTTAACTATTTTTCTTTATGGACTTGTTTTATTGAATTCCTGAGGCTCATTTTTTGAGAAGATGTTCCTTTTGTTGTTTATAAATATTATTCTAATGAAAGTGAGTCTACAACTTTAACATGGAAGTGTTCAATTCTAAATATGTTGTAAATTCTTTGACAATTACAATTATTTTCTTGTTTTTTTTTTCACCTTTTGAGAGTTTTAGTGAATGTAACATTACTTTTAGTTATTCTACTACATGTATAAAAAATGCCATGATGTATTATCAGAATTAAGTCAACATGCTCCTATTATTTAACATTCGTATGCTGTTAGTTTGGATTGCAAGAATAAAAGAAGATGGAAATATGTTACCTTTCAACACAGAGAAATAAATCTAAAGTGGAAAAATATAAATAAAATCCATAACTATTTTTTTCTTCTTTTTTTTTTTCATAAAAAATGGTTTAATGAATAAGTAGTCAATGTTTATGAAGTATACCTGTACGTATAATGCTCAGGGCAAATAAATTAAACTACTAAATACAGCCAAAAAAATGTAACAATATAACAAATAAAAGTATAAAAAGCTGACACAACTTTAATGTAGCTGCAACAAAATATTACAATTTTCTACTTTCTCAACATTTTTTTTGTTATTTATTTATTTATTTTTCTGGATTTTCTGGTTTCGGCTGTCTTGAGATGTGAAATTGCATACATTTGAAATGGATGTGGCGAACATTTTTAAAACACGTTGGAATTTTTGAGAATAAAATTATAGCTAAATTCCGATTTTCTTAAAAATATTTAGCAACACCTATTTAGTCAGAAAATCTTGAGACATTTGTGGATGAGTTTCAACACATTGTGAGAATTAATTCTTACAGAGGATCAGATTTAGTCGTGTTGATTTTAACATGGGTTCAATTTTTAAAGTTCATGTTTAAAAGGAGGGTATTTGTTTGTTTGATGCAAGATTTCTTAATAAATGATACAGTTACAGATTACAATTTCAAGATTGTCAATTAAATGAAAAAATAATAAAATGTTACATTTATTATTGCTACCAACTTTCTTGTTTAACCTACTTGAGTTTAAAAAAAAGAAGAAATTAGTTGAAAAAAAAAATGTGGCTGTGGTGGGTTTGAACAGTGCCGTGGTGCTATTGTCCTCAAATGTGTTATCAGGTAGTTCAGTCAAAGTAATCTTTGAATATTTTCTCTGCCTGACTGATCTTCATCT